AAATTAAAAAAAATCAAAATATCTCAATACGGCAATTAAATTAAAAAAATTTAACTATAGCTTATACGTAACTAAAATTATTTAGACATGGTTTCTTTAGATTTCAAACTTCAAAGCAGAATATTAAAAAGAGATTTTTTTCCAAAAGGATGTAAATAAAAGGAAATATTTTTTTATAGATTCTGATGGATACGTAAAAGTATTAAAAAATTTATAACGTTTAGAGAACATTTCGAAAATTGAACAGGAATATGATGGATTTATTTAAATTTCAATATTCTTGTTTAATTTTCGAGGTGTTTCCCAAATGTCACTTTTTAATAACTTCATCATATCCAAGAAATCAAAATCTATAAAAAATATTATTCTTTTTATTTATCTTTTTGAATAGAAATCCTCCTCTTTTTAACATCCTCTTTTAAAAAACATCAATTAAAATACATCATTTAAAAATTTGAAAATTTTAAATGATGTATTTAATATTGAAATTGTTATTTTTTAACAAAAAAGTTTCGATTTTGCAAGGAAATCACATTATTCCACGATTTCACTGAATTTTTGCAAGATCAGCTAATTGAAAAAAAATCAATACGTACAATATTTATTTGTTTGTTCAAATATTCGACAAGAAATTTAAGTGATATTAAATTATAAAATTGATAGAAACGTGATATTAAATTATAAAATTAATCAGAAATTAATCGGATCTTATGACTCGATTTTAGACATTTTTTGTGTTGTCTGAAAATATTATCTTTACATCCACAATTTATGAATGTAGAATGGACTCACTTTACTATATATCAATTTTCAATTTTGGATTGACATTACATCAATTTCCGCACTTTATTAGCAGGGTCGATAATGTAATATGTAATGATATAATTTTATAAAAATGATATTAATGCTGTTAGTATATGAGAACTTTTGAACGTCGTATTATTAATGTAATAATGATTCATTACCTTGTTTTCTTTCAATCCACGATTGTTGATTTGTGGTTTATCGCTGATAAGACTAGAATTATAATACTGCTGCACAACTTCCTTTGGTATTCCATGTATCATTTGTATGTGCCTTGCTAATGAAGACATTTGTGTGAAATTTTTATCACAAATTGAACATGAATACGGTTTAATTCCTGCATATGAAATAAACAAAAAAATACTTGATTCTATTAATTGTTTTCTTTAATTTGATAATTATTCAATTTAGCCTTGTCAAACTTGAAATTAGACTCATTTGATGTGTTTTGTATGAAATGAAAGAAGTCTGGCAGAAAATAGTCTTAATATCTCGATTCGTAGGGCAGAGCAATGCTTTTTTTCTGCTAGAGTCGTTTCGCGCAAAAATGTATCAAATAAATCAAATGTATCAAATGTATCTAATTTCGTCAAGATTGAAAACGAAGGCCTAATAATTGAATAATTATCTTTACTTACATTTAAATACATTTATTATATTATTATAGATGTACTCAATATCTTACCTGTATGCATTCTACAGTGTCTTATAAGATTCGATATATGACTAAACTTCCTCCCACAAATCTCACAAATATAAAAATTTGTTCCTAAATGAATGTTTAAATGGGTGCGCAAATCTGCTTTCCGAAAGAAACCTTTTTCACATATCTGGCATATTTGGGATCTTTCTCCTAGATGTAAACTTCGATGATGATAATCCAATTGTGAAGCACGATCGAAGGTTGAATTGCATTGGAGGCACTTGAATGTTTTCAGCATTTTGTGATACACACTTCTGCAATTCTGTTAATAGCGAAATTCCGTATTATTTTCCAAGTGTTATTATTTTCCAAGTTTTAGAAAGATATATAAAGTATCATAATTAAGCATTTATTTGGATATTTGTTGACTTTATTCAATATATATCCAAGTAAATGCAATCATAACAAAAAAAGCAGCTTTACAACTGTTATAACATTTTTTTAATCATTTGTATCATGAATTTTAATATTAGACCCATATTTTTGAAATTTTGTACGCGGAAATTGTTCGGGTCAATGATTATAAATTAGAAGCTAAAATTTAAAAATTCAAAACAACCGATGTAATATGACGGACTAATAATTCAAATAATTTTTACTAAAATATTCATTATTTATAAAAATAAATTATTTAATAAAGAACAGTTCACGGCGAATAATGAGAGAATTATTTGAGAGAAAAAGTATCAAGATATTATCAATAAATCTTGGTATACAAGGTCAAGAGATTCAGTATTTCTTTGTAAATTCAAAATCTTATTTTTGTTTATATATACAACATCTCAGACGTCAATTTTTGTAGATATTCTTTTCTATATTTAAAATTTTAGCATGTTCCCAATCAAAATCATGAGTCATTGAAAGCCTATATGTTTGCCCAGCAAACGAGAATGGATTGAAATGAATTGAAATGAATTCAGATTTTCAGAAATATTGATTCACGTTAAAATGAATGCTTTTTAATTCTGAATGTATTTTTATTCATTTATAGGAATTACATGGAGCATATCTCTATGCCTTTCTAAAAATAATATTAGCTTTTTCTGTGCATACAAACACAATTATGAATACTGTTTAATTCAAAATTTTGAATTGCAGTTTTTCAATCCAATTGCATCCAATTGAATCTAATTGAATCCAATTGAATCTAATTAAATTCAAAAAAAGTATTCGCTATTTAAAATACGCATTCGGATAGATAAAAATTTCAATCCATTTTAATCCATTCTTTGCTGGCTGAATGCTGACTAGTCTTCCTATTTATTCTGCAATCGACTCAAATTTAAGATCGAAACATTTATATATATTTTGTGTTCGTGTAATAAATAAACACACAAACAGCTAGTATATTGTCTTTATAGGATTATATTCCAATTTTTTATATATTTAGAAATTTTTCGTAAATTTGATTTAAAAGTATTTAGGTACCAAAAATGAATAGTAGATACTATACTTTTAAAGATACTTTAGTTTAATTAGACTCAAAATAGGAACTAAATGACACTAGAGCATCTGTCAATTTTTGTGTTAATACACATTCAACTGAATTAGCTGCAGTTATTAGTTGTTCTGCATTTATACCAAAATTCGAGTAATTCTCATTGTGACTATTATACTCACAAGGGAACTTCCTCATTCCGATTTTCATTTTGCCTTTTCCAGTATTCATATTTCGGGACAAAAAAAATTCCTACTTGAAGACAGTGTATCAAAGAACAATAACTTTGACTGCATGTGACTGTGATTGCAAGGCATTCTTCGTGACATATGTTATACCAAATTTCAATAGTTTATTATTATTAGTAACGAAAAATGCGGATTTTGCGCATAAAAAAGTCACTTCTCTCCACCATTAATATCTCTAAAATGGTTGAGGATTTGCCCCGAAATATAAATATACTTTACTGATGAAAACGAAATCAATCGGAGTTTTATTTCGAAATCAAAACACTTGGGGAAGTTTCTTTGTCTTGTCAGTTGAATACACGTTTCTTTTCATTCTGACAAGCAAGATTAAACCGAGTTTTTACTTACAATCACTCACAAGCTCGAGACCGTATGCTTGCGTATGCTTTAAGCCTTGTGTCCACAATGCTAAATTGGTATGAATTTTAAATACAAGTTCTCGAATAAAAATAATGATACATATATACTCTGATAACTCTAGAGTATAATCGAAAATGTAACGTTAAAAGTTATTTAAAAACACATTCAATAGTCGTTCCATGATGGAATAGTCGTGAATATGAAGAGAATGGGATATTGGAATAGTTAGCATGCTTGTTTCTGTGGATGTAGTACAGACACGAATCATACACTTTTGACGATATGATTTTATCGACAATGTGTGAAAAAATTGATATAGTCACATTTCACGTTATATAATTCCCAAATCGAAAATGAATGTACTGGCGATCGTCTACGAGCGATTTCGAATGTGTAACAGAAAAATGGATAAGGAGCTCCGCACAATAAAGGGAACAGAGAATAAGAATTTCAACCTATCAGAAATCATGTATTGTAGAATACACAATTTCTGATAGATTCTCATTCTCTGTTCTTTGTTCCCTTTTCCTTTTATTGTGCGGAGTCTCTAATAGGAAAAAGGTCGGCATGGTCTCTCTCAGGCTGCTATTCCATGAGCGGAAATTTACAGTGGAACAGTACAGCGAGACTAATCATAATTGCAGAAAAGAAAGCAGAAGGTCGATTCTCTATTTTCAAGGTGAAAATTACAAAAGTAAGCAAATTTACTAGAGGTGCGTTCCATTTCTTGCATGAAGCGCATGAGTATTTAATGCATGACATGGAGTGCAGGGTACATTCCGTTCCAATACATTCCATACGGTTTTAGTAACGGAACGGATTCACAGTGAATTCATATAGTGAACATGGACGACAATTTAAAATTGATTGAATTAAATGCATTCAATAATTACTGTTACATCTTCTTTTTTGACAAAAGAAGAAGATTTATATTTTTCGAATAGCACTTACAATCTTATTCTGTAGGATAAGAAAAATAAAAGATTTTATCAAAAAGAATGTTTAATATCTATTTTAAAAATATTAAAATATTAAAAATTTAAAATATTAAAAATTTAACAAATTTTTATAGATTATTCTTACGTTCAGACACTTATAACAAAATCTGAAATCGATTCACTGTGAAGCAACTTGAAGTTATAAAAGTTTAAAATATAAAGATTTTAAGGTTAGATTGGAGATATTCTTACTATTATATTCAAAAATTTTTTATTTTTTTCAAAAATAATTAGCAATAGAAATTCAAAAGTACATTTCTGCATTTTAGTTATAAGTATGATAAGATTCTATATACAATCTTTATTATTCAAACCATAACAGTACATATTCGTCAAAATCAAATTTCAGAAACTTTTTGCTACAATTATACATACAAAACACCCTTAAAATCCACTATTTTTACTTTCCTACCTTGTAAGGATATAACTAATGTAAACTTAACCTCTATCATAATTCTACTATTTTATTATCTACTATTTTATATTCAGGAATTTAAAACGATATGAAAATAGCGGTAATATATCAATATATTATTTTTTCAGCATTATATAAATCAAAGACTAAAAACCGATATTCTATAGCGATATACGCAAAACCGAGATCCAAATACCAGTATTGGACGTTAAATACCAGTATTAAACCGAAATTTTCATAATATCAGTATACGCATAATTTTTCGGTAATAGAATATTATACCGTGTATATATTATATAATATATA